AGCCTCACCTTCGGCTGGCTCTTGCATCCGTGCTGAGGGGCCGCATGCCCATACCTGAGGCGCCTGCAGCAGCAAACCACACCGTACAGCAGCAGCAGCAACTGCAGCAGCAGCAGCAGCAGCAGCAGCAGCAGCAACAGCAGTAACAGCAGCAGCAGCAGCAGCAGCAACAGCTGCAGCAACAGCTGCAGCCGCAAGCAGCAGAAGAAGCAACCCTCTCCTCGATCACGCCTCCCTCTCCCAAACCCTACCCCCCCACTCCCTAACCCCTAAACCCCCAAACCCTAAACCCTAAACCCTAAACCCTAAACCCTCGTTTTACCTTCAGGCGAGTGGTTTGCTGCTGCTGCTGCTTCTGCTGTTTCATAGAAAAGCTCGCCCCCCACCGCGGAGCCCTTGGGGGTGAGGAGACAGCCATCGGAGACACAGCGAGAGAGGGGCCCAGCTAGTGCTGCTCTGCTGCCTGCTGCTGCTGCTGCTGCTGCTACAGCTCTCAAAGGAGACCCTGGTGGCAGTGCTGCAGCAGCAGCAGCAGCAGCAGCTGCTGCTGCTGCTGCTGCTGCTGCATGCGTCGCCACTGGAGAAGGCCCAAATGCCTCTCTGCTCGACATGCGGCTGAAGACAGGCTGCTCTGCTGCTGCAGCAGGAGGACAGTTAGCAGCAGCAGCAGCAGCAGCTGCTGCTGCTGCTCCTTCAAGTGCTGCTGCTGCTGCTGCTGCATCATCGTCGCCATCTGCTGCTGCTTGCTGCGGCGCATCCTCCCCCGAGTCAAACTCTGCATCTACTGCTGCTGCTGCTGCTGCTGCTGCTGCTACACTCTCAGGCTCAGGCGCCACCGTCTCGCAGTCATCCACGTCCCCCAGGTGAGGACGCTGCCTGCAGCAGCAGCAGCAGCAACAGCAGCAGCAGCAGCAGCAGCAGCAAAAGCAGCAGCAGCAGCAGCAGCAGCAGCACGGCCTCTTTGACCTTAAGTTTAAACCTGCCTAGCTCCATGACGTCTATCTAGCTACACCTATCGCCAGCTAGCTACAGCTAGCTACAGCTAGCTACAGCTAGCTACTCACCTGGCTGTAGCCTGCAGCGCTTGCTGCTGATCGAGGACGGCCTCTTTGACCTTAAGTTTAAACCTGCCTAGCTTCATTACGTCTCCCTCGGTGAGGCGGACGCCGCCGCAGTCCCGCAGACTACGCACCACCAGCCACACCTTGTCGGCCTGCATGCATGCAGCAGCAGCAGCAGCAGCAGCAGCAGCAGCAGCAGCAGGAGATGCAGCAGGAGATGAGATGGAGGTGGAGATGGAGGAGATGCAGATGCAGCAGCAATTGCTGCTGTTGTTGCTAATGCTGCTGCTGCTGCTGCTGCTTCTGCTGCAGTTACTGCTGCTGCTCCAGATACTGCTATTGCTGCTGTTGCTGCTGCTGCTGCTGCTGCTGCTGCTGCTGCTGCTTACCTCAGCCTGACATGTATTGGCCCCTTGCCGTGAATGAGTGCCTCTTGCTGCTGCTGAGCCTGTGCGTGCAGGCGGGTCTGCTGCTGCTGCTGCAGCAGGAGCTGCTGCTGCTGCTGCTGCTGCTGCTCCTCTAGCAGCTGCTGCTTGTGCTGCTGCTTGTGCTGCTGCTGCTGCTGCTGGGATCGAAGAGCAGCAGCCGCTGGTGTCTCGGTATGTATCGCGGTCTTCCTCTGCTTCTGCTGCTGCTGCACCTGGTCTGCCTGCTGCTGCTGCTGCTGCTGCTGCATGCATTGCGTTTGCTGCTGCTGCTGCTTCTGCTGCTTCCGCTGCTGCTGCTGCTGCTGCTGCTGCTGCTGCACTTTCATCTGCATCCTCAACAGCAGACGGAGCCCCCCAACTCTGCTGCTCTCGCTGCAGCCCACTTGCTGCTGCTGGGGAGCTTGGTGCTGCTCCGCCTGCTGCTGCTGCTGCTGCTTCTGCTGCTGCATCTGCTGCTGCTGCTGCAGTCTCCAGTGCGGCCTGTCGTAGTTGTTGTTGCTGCTGTTGCTGCTGCAGCAGCTGCTGCTGCTGCCTTCTCGCTGCAGCTGCCGATGAGGATCTATTTGCTGCTGGAGTATCAGCTGCTGCAGCAGCAGCACCAGCAGCAGCAGCAGCAGCAGCAGCAGCAGCAGCAGCAGGAGGGGGAGGCAGCACGCAATAAGCCCCATCCATCCAGGTAATCCTTAATAAAGCTTTTGCTTCTGCTGCTTCTGCTGCTCGCGCCTGCTGCAGCAGTGCTGCTGCTTCCTCCTCCGACTGTACAGACACCTCACCAGCTATCCGGATGCAGCAGTATGAGTCATCTGCAACATACAAAAAAA